GCGTAATTTTTATTTGTCTGGTATATGTTATTGTGTTTAGAAATTCCAGTAGGATCTTGTTTTCGTATTCCTTGAAGAATATACGATGAGGATAATATACAAACCAGTGTGACATTCGGTCCAATCTCTTAACAACAGTCTATAAACATTTTCTGAAAGTCTCTGAACAGATTATAGGGATTTTAAACAAGTAATCAACCAGTTTAAACAAATCAGATACATAGTACATTGACAGTAATATTTGAAAGATAATAATGATAATAATAATTACTCTAGAAGTTTAAGGATTCGGATAAATTTCACAACTGTTGTTCATAATTAAAGTAGTAATTCTTTTTTTATAGTTATCAGGTATATGCGATAGATTATGCAGGAGAAAAGAAATAAGTCACACAGTTTAAAAAAAATTATCAACCATTTTTCATTCTCTTTAACAGTCTGACTAATCTGATAGTCAAATGTTGCTTTAACGACCGTTAAAGAAATGTAATTTATCTACTTCAATGTGTTTACTATATTATTGTTTATTATTATTATTATTATAACCATCGTTATGGGATACTAATTTTCTTGTGAATCCACGTTGTTATATTTTCAAAATGAAATTATTCATATAAACGCATGAGTCATACAATTCAAGTGATTAAATCTATGAGTTCAATATGGTTAGCTAGAAATCTTCTGCAAAATTATGATGATATTACAATAGTGGTTTTATGAATTTTTGCAATGAATTTAGAGAAAAAAAGGCAATTTTAATCATGATAATGATGAATAAACAATAAGCCAAAAATTATGTGAGAACGAACATTTCCGCTAAATTTTAACACCGCAAACTGTAAAGTGCGTATATGTGCGAACACTATGTCATTGGTGAAGGGAGTTTTCTTCATCGGGTTCCGATTTCACACATTTCTATAGATGAATATATAAGAATAGTAGGTTATATACAAGTATTTAGTTCTATATATATCATCCATGTTCATTTTTGTCTGTTTTATTGGTAAATTATTTAAATTTATTATAAGCTCTGAAAGAGATGTATTAGTTATTTAAAAAATCAACTACAGATTGTCGATACTACAGGTATGGAGTGATGAAACTGCATGTTTGTAAAAATAATTTTCTCATTTGCTGTTTTTTAAATAGAATGAAAAACGACACTTTTGATTAGTTACACTAACCATTTTTGTTAAATGATGTATTTGAACTCCGATTTCACACAGATATCAACTGTGGAAATTTAATTAAAATCTTAATTACTGTAATTAATAGAGCATACAATGAATAAGCAGTTAATTAGGCTATATTGTTGAACATGATTCATATATAATAAAGTGTTATTGAAATTGTTTCAATGTTCAATCTACACTAAATAAAAGAAGATAGAGGAAAAAAAGCAGTCTGAATTCTCACATGTGAACTTGTTACTTCTAAGATAACTGGAAATTGTGACGCGAATTCAGAAAAATGTTCGATTATATTTTTAAGAATATGTCTGATGGGACCATTTATTTATAAAACTTTAGTGTTGATTTTATGATATAGGCATACTCTTGAATAAGCTCGATATTCGTCAAAGTGAGAAGATAAAGTTTTTTTCTTAAAATCTTATTGAGCTCACGATTGAATATTAGCTAATTTCACAGGAATTTACAGTTCCACAAATTTATTGAACATCGTTTAACTGATCAAAATAACAAAAACGTTAGAAATGGATTCATTAGAGTATACATTGATCATTCGCACAAATTATTCATATAGGATAGAAATCTATTTTTTGCATTTCAGTAAATGACCACAAATCATTTCCAACTTTATATTAAATCTTAACAGACCTGGAACTTGTTACCCAAAATATCCAATGTCTCTTGTATGATACTTTTAAGTTGGTGTATAATAAACGCTTATTCTTTAGTCAGTATAACTACTGAGATTTATATGCATCTTTATCATAGGGTACCAACAGAAAAATGACTGAAATCTTTTTGCACAAATATTACTTAAATTTCATCAATATACCATGAAGCATTATCTACAGTGAACATATTTCATTCACAATTAAACCAATAAAAGGGTATTTGACACCCAAACTTTTCAGTTTATTTTAAAATAGTTACGTAATAATGTTAACAAGTAAATGAGAAACAATTACTTATATTATTGAAATGCTTGTGAAGAAAATGATGTAATAATTTTCGTGAGAGAAACTGTGACATTAAAAGACCTCATACCATTTTTTAGGATAATCGGCCTACTTTATTTAAATATTAAGAATTAACTTCAATATCTATCATACTTTTTGTCACACAGTTTGATTCCTTCTGGCCGACAATGTGAATTTCAAAGTTGGAAATACACTGAACTTTACCATAAGTGTTTGATCTAGTAATTTCAAAACGTGGAATCGTTTGTGTGACACCTTAATGTAAATATGACCACATTTATCAGTGACTTAGTTCTCACTAAGATAGGTGGCTCTTTTTGAACAATCTTAATGTTGCTATTAGAAGCGTTGGGTTGCTTCATTATAACTGCAAATTAACTGGAATGTAAGCAAAAAACAATCATGAAAAATTTGAAAGGGTTATAAATAAGTAAAAAAATAATTTCCGCTTTGTTTTTAAAAGAAAGGTAGAAGAAATTCAGTTAAATCTGTAACAATGAGCTTGGTGTTTCCTCCAAACGATTTTTTTATTATCACAAAATATTTTTTATCATTCCGCAATGCACATAGTGAGATATTGTAGCTTGACATTTTGAGGTATGTTCATAGACCTACATATGTGATTTGATTTCCTAGCGAATGAGAATTTTTATGATAACTGTACTTTACTTAAAAACGCTTCAACATTTAATTTAAAGTCGTCAAAGTATCTTGAACACTTGGAGATGATGTATAAAACAAAAATACTTTCTCGCTTCACGATTATCTTGAAGTTCAAACCCTATACTAGTGTTTCAAAATACTGATGCCAAAGGTAATAAAGGCTACCCTTAATCAGAAATTAATCTGGGCGAGATATTTTATAAAAAGCATTTCAATTTACAATTGCTCATTAAAATTAAATCGAACTAACTTGTGTATATAGAATTGCGATACTAACTGAATAAAAAACATTATTGTCAAAATATATTTTTCCGATACTTGGTATTTTCATTGAAATGAAAGCACACATATTACAAGGAAAGATCATAAAAATCTAATGTATTCACCAGTACCAATTTCAATTAAATTTAATGTTGTTTTCATCATCTTATCGCTAATAACTTGGATTAGATTCCAGATATAAAAGTTTAATTTCAAATTGAATTTCTACAATAAAATGAAATCTTTTGTGCAAGGTCAACGCCATAGTTTATTACAAATACTTTTCTCTAGTAAAAATGATAAAAACAACTTAATATTTCGATGACTATTAAGTTTATTTTGGCTTCAAACTACAGCCAAAACAATAAGTTAACACTGGTATTAATATGATGGTAGTTTAAGATAATTGAGATATAATTAATTCTATGGTGGCTTATTTACTCTACAAACTACAGCGATATTCTTTGAAGAAGTATGAAATTAGGCCAGATGGCATAGAATACAGTTTTTAGCATCAGCCATGAAAACTTAAACAGTACTTTCAGTCATAAATATTTAGATTTATATCAAACTCAAATACGCAAATACGTGTTTCTTTCTAATAGCTGTGTATCATTTTTTAAATAAACATTTCTTCAATGCTATTCATATTATAAATATTGGAATCACCAATCAATCATTGTTAGACCACCATTAGAAACGTGGAAGCACTGGACGGCCGTTTCGTCCTGGTACGGGAATCACCAGCAGTGTGCATCCACGAATCATGCACCTTGCATGATTCGAAACCAGGACCTTTGGTTTTGCGTGCGAACGCCTAACCTCTGGACTACTGGGCAGGCATCCAGTAGTGTTATTGTCTAACTCTGATCAATCTACAGATTTTGCGAAACCTCACCCATTCGTCTTTGGTAGTTACTGCCTACACCCGACAGGGATGGACTTCACTAGTCACGTCTTCTCCCTAGAACTCCGAGAATTCCCTCACGAAGCTAGTAACTAGTGAGCTTCCAGGTTTCTAACTGTGGTCTAACAATGATTTCAATGTGCAATGAACACTAATCTCCATAACTCTAATTAAAAAATATCATAAACAAGAAAAATATTATATGCAGAACGCATTCAGAAGTAAAATGGTGGTGGTATTACTGTTGTAGTATTGCAGTATAACTGAAAAAACTTTCGAGAATATTATTCACGAAAAAAATTCAATAATGAGTAATATAATCTGTCCACTGAAACTCTTGCAATGAGACACACTAATTTATGAAACTACGCAAAATGACAAATTAAACAGTTTATGATTTTATCAAAAACTCTTGATTGTAATTAATAATGCCTTGAATTCTGAAATGAAATAATAAAAAATGTGAATAAAACAGATCATAATATACGTTTTTATTTAAGATTCTGAAGGCATATTATCGAATTCTAAATGAAAGTTGTACAATTTAAAAATGAAATTATTTGACAGACATTCTTAAAAATGTCACAAATGGAGGAAAATAAAAATTGACTGACATAATGTAAACAAACTCCTACGAAGTAAAATCAATTCGAAAGATTATTTGCAACGCCTTTTCCCAATATTTTTTTTTTCAAATTTGTAATATAGGATACTGGACGATAAAGTTTTGACGTAACCTTTAGTTTTATATTTCACAAATTGAGAAAAGTGATTTTCCTAATAAAATAAGTTTAAAGCTGGTTGAGAAACTAACAACGTAGTATTATTACATTTTTATATGATATTCAGCTAACCGGTTGAACTGTTAATTTATTTCAATAACTAACATATCTTTTCGATAATACTCAATTGATATTATGTCATCCAGACTTTAAAAAAGTACCGTAATGTTTAGTAACACTCTTCAGCAACTCTTAATATGTTCTATTACAACTTTGCAGAATGTACTCGTGTTTCAGTGGAACATGGCCTTTTTCAGTTAGTGAGTGATTATTTAATGGAGTCTGAGTCTATCATTTGGCCTATAATGATAAATTTATAATGAAACAAACTTATCTGACAGTAATAAACAATTGAATTTAAATGACTAATAATTTCGCAAATTTTTTATATCTATATTCCACTTTTTTAATAGATTCATTTGGACTTAGACAGTTTCTAGTTACTTTATGTACGAATGTCAAAGTCAATAGTTATTCAAATCCAACAATCACAGATCAACAAACATCAATTTACTGCCCACACAGAACAACTTTACAGATTTTCGATGCATATTATAGTCAAGTACTTGACAAAAATTCTGAATGTTCAAAATCTTCTGAGTATACTGGAAATAATCAAAAGTATTTAAGTGGATCAAATACACAGTTCAGTCTAATGTCTGAATGTTATGCTAAATCTGTTGGACAGGTAAGTTTTATTACCGTTCAGTTACACTTCATTTTATAAGTTTGATGTCTTTGTATAATTTCATTGTGATGGGCTTCTTTAAAATTTAATTGCAGCCTAAAAGGAAACGTTGCGTTTAGATTGCACATAACAATCTTTCGTCTTTTTGCTACCTGTCAGCTGAATAAACTTCAAGTCCTGATTTTCAGTCTGATATACAATCGCTGTACCGAACTATTCAGAGATTAAGGTCTTATCAACTAAGCCTATGGGGAGAGATTGTCACTAATTTATTTAACCTGTAAAAAATATTTTGACAGTCAATATTTTAAATTTACTTCAGTGTACTACCTGCAAGAACGAATTTAACTTGTCGATTAAGAGAAAACATTCATCGACTGTTATCACGTTTTCAATGATTCTTCAGTCTATGTTGCTTTCTGTTGAAAATTAACTTCATGAATTCACAGTGAGTAGGACGACAGATAATGGAAATGATAATTATCACCAGTTACAGCTCTATTCGGTCCGTTGTTTCCGGCTAGATAGTTTGTTACATTTTTAAAGTGGTTTTATCATCATTTACTTCCCATAAACCTTCCTGACCGTCACATACTTGGCATAATACTTAACCATGTACAAATAAAAGCTTTATTAATTTTGATTAAAAAGCTTACAAATATCAGATTTAATTCACTGGATTTTTAATGTAATTACATACAAGCGGTTTGTTCAACAGACAGCTATTAGAATAATGTTACCGAATAGAAATAAATTTTCTTCCGTTTTTAATTTATAAATTTTTAGATTGTCAAACGATTATGTGATGGTACAAATAAATGTGATCCAGTTCATCAGTTAAAGCAGGAGAATATCACAACCTGCCCGTACCCATCGTTTCTACAAGTGAATTATACATGCCTTCCAGGTAAATATGTTTACTCTCCAAACATGTGATTACAGTTCATTAAATTAGTGTTTCTTGTATATATATCAGACTGAATTGTTTAAAGATGAAAAAGATGTTATAACATCAAAAAGAAGATATTTTCTTCGTTGACCTCATTTTGTTTGAATAATAGAACTGTTCGATTTAAAAGTCTCTGTTTATTCGGTTCTTTTCAGTTTCATTGTGTCAAATCAACTGTCTATTAAAGCAAAATAAAATACATGTTAGAACCAGAATAATAATAATAATGCCCTGTCAAGACCAAAAAGACTTTCAAGCAATTATCTCAAAATAACGAATTTACATCCATGCTCAATAAAAACTGTTAAGTGAAATGTGGTTATAAGGATACATTTTTTCAGTTTCTGCAAAGTTTTTCATTGTTCCTGAAAAACCAAAATAACTAGTAGTGATCGTTCTAATGAAAAAAAGTAAAATCGAAACCTGACAAACACAGTTCAGTGAAATGGAATTCTAAATGCTAGTAAATCGTAAGATTAGGTTCTGGAATCAAACGGTAGTCAAATAATACTCTCGCTCTGATAACTTGGGGATTCTAAGATAGAAGATTCTGCGTGTTCGAATCCATTTTTAGGCTATTAAAAATATCAGCACACCAGAACACGAAAGACTAACCTTTCAACTTATGTTTACAACTTAATCACAAACTAATTCAGGGGTACTACGTAGATTTGCTGCACTTTAAAATAGAAATTATCAAACTTTATGATCATTTCTTTCCTCCTAAGACAAAGTGATATTACAGATCGAATGTTAAATAGTTTTTAAGTCATATAGATTTGATAATCAAAAATTCGCATTTCGGAATCATTTTTGTTTTGCTTTTGCTCTCTTTATTTCATCAGTTTATTCCAAACAAGAAGTTATTTGTGCAGATTCTTATGTTGAATTATCTTGTAAAGTGTTTTCTTTGGATATGGGATTAATAATACTAGAAGCTGTGCTTAACTACAATCTTTCTACACAACCAACTTCAACTTCCGAAACAAATTTACAGAAATGTTCAAGATCAAATACAAATCGTAAGTAATGTCCTTATTATTAGTTATAAATTTTAGGTTTGTCATCATTCAACAACTAAGTATAGTACACAACTGAGTCGCTCGCTTAGAGCAAACAAGAATACAAAAGTGTCTTTGTTTGCGAAAAAAATTGGAAAATATCAAAATTACGAAATTATTGTGTAAGATAAACTGACTTGTAAATACTTACGAGTACGTATAAGCTAGAGTTCGTGAGTGAAAAACATATTCATACAAGTAAAACTGAATACGACAAACATAAGTGTTTTCTTGAGAGACTAGCTGTAAGTTTAAACATCTAAGCAATTTAAATTCTTTCATTGTAACTGATGGTTAGAATTCTATGGGATGGAAGTTGGTAAGAAAAAGAATCAGTATTCTGATTATTAAACTATACAGAATATTTGTGATTGATGAAATCTATGGAAGCATTACTGTATTACTTACTTACCCCTGTTAACCCTAATGAAGCATGGACATTTGACCATTGAACTAATAATTCTGGAATTCTTCAGGATAGGGTAGCTAACCCCATACCCAATATTTCTCCTTTATTCGGGCTTGGGACCGGCAGTAACCCCAGAAGGGCTACAGGTGGAGTTAATCGTTACAGTAAACTTTTCAGGAAATAAGACTCGCAGTAAAACTGATACAAGATTACAAATTATTGCAGTGAATTTATCGAGTGATTTGAAATTAAGACCACTAAGATATATTAGCCGAAATACGATCAATTTTATTTATTCATAGTTACAAAGTCATTTAGTCAAAGACGCTAGTTAGTCGAAATTCTTTTTCAAAATACGAAATAGAACAACACAATGTAGTTTTATTTTTAATTAGTTCGTTATGGATATAAAAATATAATTTGTTATCTTACATTAAATTACAACGCTTCAACTAAATGATTTAATCTGATATTTTGATATGAAGTTAGAATAATAATATATTTCGTTTCCTATTCAAAGAGAAAACAGAGTTGTCATTTTTTTATTCTAATGACAACCTTAAGATTTTTTGAATTTTACTTAATTGAAGCACAAAATGTTTAAGCTTAGTTCCAATGACCTTTTTTGTTTTAAATAATGAACAATGAATTTCTAAGAAACATTTCACCGCTGAGAACATGATTTTGAAAAGTGTACGAACAAAAAACAAAGAATCGTTAAATTTAAAACATAAACTCAATAGGTGTATAATATTTCAAATTTCGCGCAAAGATAAATAAATACTAAGTGAATTAGAAATCATTGCTCACAATAAACAATTTACATCTTAGAAAGCATTAAAGTACATGAAAAAATTATATCTAATGTTGTGAGATCATTTAGGCTTAGTCAATACACAGCACAGCACAAATGTGAATTTGAACATTACTATGATGAGATAAAAGTTCGAAGATGAATATCATAGGAGTCAAAATAGCAGTTTTATTGATAGCAAGGAAAATCAAACATTGAAGAACACAAATCAAAAGGGGAATAAACATAACTAAATTGGAAATTTACATTTAATAATCTTTATTTAAAAATCCATAAGTCAATAAACCATCAACAAATATAACCAAGTTAATTTGAAAATAATCATTTCATCAAATACTATGTTTTTCCAGAAGTTTTAAACTTCATGACAGTTTTATCTTACGAACTGAATAAGCTTTGTGTTACTTTCCTTTATCACATTCATAACTTGACAATGAATTTCCTGCTGATTAGTAACAAAATCCTAAGTCAAATGATTATACTGATTTCTGTAGTGATCATAGCAGTAGAAGTCGTCTTACTAGTAGGTAATGCTGTTATCATTTTAAAGCGTTAAAAGTTATGCAATGTTCACGAATATCTAGTTATTTTCATCGTTTGTATTAATATGTATTGTTTACTTTCGAAAATTACTTACAAATTCACTTGATTATTGAAATCTTTTTCCTTGAAGCTTTTTAAACAAGTTATTTTATTGGTTTGATGAAAATATAGCATTATATAACTATGACCAAATTTATTTTTATTGCAACTAGTGCTAATTACAATGTAGCGTAATCTTCAATTATTCAATGTTTTTAAACAACTGAACAACTGTTGATGTTTATTAGATTGCATTAAGGAGAAATTCTCGAAAATGCATAATTTTCAAGTTTGAAACCTACATAAATAAAAAATGAAAAGTCAATCTAGCTAACACATTAAGAATGATTTACTTCATTTCGATTGAAATTTACAATTACATTATTGAGTTATTGTATTTTATTTATTTGCATCCTTTTCGGTAAAGAAAAAAAGATTTTCAGTAAACAGTGGTATTTTGACTTGATTATGCATAAAGACATAAAATCACATGATATTTTGAATAGTTAATTGGACGTTATTACTTATAAATTTAAGCATTATAAAGCACATCTGTTGGATGAATAGAACCTTATTGCATTCTCTTATCTAATGTATCTTCATTCGGTTCACTGATAGAAGTATTAGGAAATAACAAAAGTCGTCTTCTAAACAAATCTCTGTCAAAATGTGTTAGTTTTACAAATAATAAAATATTCTATGTACCAAATAGTTTCAAAAAAATTTAATTAATAGCGAAATTTTGTTTTTACATTTTTTACGAATGTACAAATGGTCATATTCAGTAAGACATTAAAATAGATTTTTTAGCCATATCATGAACTATAACTAACTGCATAACAATTGAAAATAAGTTTAGAATGGACAGAGAATGAAGTTTTTGATGGAATCCAAGACGCGCTTTTCATTCTTTTTGAGACTTGTCAGCTAAATATACTTGGATCCCAGAGTCGATATTCACAAAATACCAACAACGGTATTATCTAACTCATTTCAAATAGATCAAATCGACATCACATAAAAATTAAAAGATTTAGAATGTATTGAATGCACTCACTATTTTCATCTTAGTAAGAATCATATGTTTACTGCTAATTTACTTCTAGAAGGAATTTTCAGCATTCTCCTGAGGAGTGGAAACCAAAGTAGAAATGCCATGTTCGAAATGAGACACTGATGAAACTGAATAATACTCATGATAAAAAGAATTAGTGTTGAGAATTTTAATCATTAATTTTTGAAATATTCGCCTATATAAAAACTAAAATTATACCCTTTCCAGGCTAAAAAAAAGTATTTTTTACAAAATTTTGTTCATTTGTACGGTATGACATAAATACATTTTCATTTAGAAACGCTGAACAACAAAGAGCAGTCAACTTTCATAATTCAATCATTGATGAATTTAAATATATCTGTTTAGATTAAAGTTGGACTGAAATTATATTGTTATGTACATTCAAGTAACAGTTTTAGTTAGTTTCAAGACATTTTAAGATTTTGTTGTTCAACTCATTTAAGATGTGACAGATCATTAAATGTCATAAACATTTTAACAGGACTGATATTGATGAGGATTTATATAATTTGAGAAGCAAAACATACCATAATCAAAGTTCACTTTTTGTATAACCTAGTAACTTCCCTCTCCATAGGCCTGAACATAAATTTTGTATTTTAGAAAAACGCTCACTGATGCATATGATATGAGGTGAGAGAGAGGAAAAGTATGACTGAGGAAAATATTTTTGTCTCTAAAAAAACCAAGAATAAATTAACTTACATATAAATCAGTACATTATTTTCATATGTTTATTTTTATATCGATTAAGCTTATTATGAATACTTACTAATGAATGAAGAAGCTTTAATTTAGTCAGTTCACAAGTAAATAAGCGATAACTTATTCAATAAAACTAATTTACATATTTAATTTATTTAAGGATGTTACAATCAACCAAAGTAACTGAATCAAACTGTAAGTAAGGTTTCTAACAACTTTGTCACTGGAATATTCATTCAAGGGTCAGGCTCATTATGATGAAAATAGTATAGATATAAAAATATTCTAATTCGAATTAAGTACACGAATGAAATGGTTTTCAGTTTGAAAGTACCATTGAGTTAAAGGGTTTTCTTCAACATATGCTTGTAAATATTTGGAATAAAATTCTTTGCCTCCCAATTATCCTGAAACTGGTCTGAGACAAACATTTTAGGAACTAAAATTGTTATCAAACTAAACAAGCTTCTTGTTTAAAGCCTATATCTGCCTTCCGTTGTTAGTTTTTGCTAATTAAGATACTGCTTGATGTCGGCAAATAGAATGTAGACCAGTGACACAATTACGGTACAGCTGAACTATTCTCCGAGGCCCACCCCAACCAACTATTACAAGGAGTCCAAAGTCAGCAGGAAGATTGTATAATCCACAATAAGCCAAAAGTTGAAAAATTAACAAGCATTCATTTCAAAACAGCACACCTAAAGTGAAATCTGTCTATAGAGGTTTATGTTCCTTCCAGTTGACAAACACAAACTAAAATGAATAAGAGGAGCTCCTAAGGCAAAGACAAGAAATCTGAATTCCAAAAAATAAATTACAAAATGATGAACCTTACCAAGCGGTTTTTGAGGATCTAGCACCCCTAGTAGTTTTCACTTCACTTCAAGAGCTGATGAAGAAAACAAACTTGATTCACCTATGACACCAAAGTAAGAAATGACAGTTTTTAACAAAACAAGTATGCTTAATCACAACCTATCTGATTTAGGAAATGATTAGTCGCCATAGACATACTGATCCAGTTAGTTAATATGGATTTTGACTTGACCAGATTTTTGACTAGTTATTCAGTTTTATAGTCTACTGAGAAATAAACTGGATGTAAAAAATGCTCGCTTCTAATTCATATTACAATCTGACTATAATTTTTTTGTATTCACTAGAATGTTCCGATCTGTAGGCTAGCAAATCACAAATCCTAATCAAAGATACAAGATACAATAGATATCGATTTGGAGATTGAAACGGTGAGAAGTGGGAACAATGGAACGTTTTTGTGATATGTGACTAAATTAATGTTACTTTTCAACAACATTTCGAGAAATAAAGCTGATTTTTTAAATACTTCTGAAAATGTTTTGACACTTCTC